TTCTCCTTCACACACACACACACACACACACACACACACACACACACACACACACACACACACACACACACACACACACACACACACACAAATGAACAGGCCGGCGTTCATGGACGAGTATGAGAAGTTGGAGGCGGAGTTGGCAAAGACATACGAGGTGGGCTGCGTTGTGCTTGCAGGCAATGCCGGTTTTTGCTGTGCTCTTTCGTGCCGCTGTCCTCTTCGTTGACTGCATTTAACAACGGATACACGCACACACACACACACACGCACACGCACACGCACACACACACACACCAACCCGCATCTTTCTTTCCCATTGAACAACGCTCACATCGCCCACAATGCACCACCCCATTCATCACCCCATGTGTTCCGACGACCAGACGTACATTGAGAAGTTCCGCAACATTTCGTATCTCGAACAAGAGCTGGAGCAGCACAACCGCACAGAGCAGGACAAGCTCGAGGTGCAATCACTGCGGTGGCGCAATGGGGTGGCGTATGGACTGCGAACTTGTGATGGGACTGGGGTTAGGGACGGGGATGGAGATTGTTGTGCAAGGATGTTTAATCTGAACACACACACACGCACACGTGCCATTTCGTTTGCGTTGCTTCCTACGGTGACGGACATGTGCACAGGAAACGGAGCAGCAGCTGAAGCGCATGCAGGCGAGGTTGCGAGATGTGAGTTTGGTGCTGTTTGGCACGCGGATGTTTGCGTTTAACGTGGTCTTCTTGCTCCAATCAATGCACATTATGAAATGTGTCCACACACACACACACACACATACACACACACGCACGCGCACACACACACACACACGTCTTCAAGCTGCACCATTCCCCCCCCCCACGCCACACCACACCACACCACACCACACCACACTCACGTCACATCTGCGCGACGCCGCTGCGTACAGGAGGAGATGCGGATGATGCGTGGGTCTGACGAAACGTTTGGGCTCGGCGGCGATATGGACCACAGTGACGAGGAGACGGACAGCGACGCCGATCTCGAGACGTGAGCACGGTGGCGTTTAAGTTGTTGCTTAAGTTGTTGTTGTTGTTGTTTAAGTTGTTGTTGTTGTTGTTTAAGTTGTTGTTGTTGTTGTTTAAGTTGTTGTTGTTGTTGTTGTTGTTGTTGGTTGTTGTTGTTGTTGTTGTTGTTGTTTAAGTTGTTGTTGTTGTTGTTGTTGTTGTTGTTGTGTGTTGTGTCGTTGTTGTTTTTGTTGGGTGTTGTTGTTGTTGTTGTTGTTGTTGTTGTGTGTTGTACGTTGTTGTTGCTGTTGCTGTTGTATGGTGGTGTTGTTGTTGTTGTGCATGTGTGTGTGTGTGTGTGTGTTGCGTGCAATCACAGGCGCGCGCGCAGTGTTCAATCAACTCAATTCACGCGTCCATGACCCTTTGTACCTGTGTGTTCACTGCTGCTCCGCCTCGTGCTGCGTCGTTGAAGGGAGCCGCGCGGCGTTGCGACGTACGGCAGCATGCGTGGGGGCATGGACAGCGACGAGGGGGTAAGCAGCCACTAGCAAGTGAAGACGCGTGTGCCGTTTGTTATGAGCGAGTGACTCGCTCGAGGGGAACAACGCCGTGCACCATGCTGACACACTCGTCGCTCACATGACTCCCAACACACTCGCGCACACATACACACACGCACACACAGTCTGATCTTTCTGATTCGTTTGGCGACATCGATGATGATGATGATGACGACGACCTCGGCGGTCTTGGAGACGATCTTGATGATGATCAGTCGGACCTCTCCGATGACGCGTTCTAAACACACACACACACACACACACACACACACACACACACACACACACACACACACACACACACACACACACACACACACACACACAGGTGCGCACTGTCATGTGTTCTTCTCTCTCCCGCTGGTTGAAGAGGCGCTGCTTGTTTGTTCGTTCGTTCGTTTGCTTCATTGATTTCCGAGGTGCTGTTGCCAGCCACCATCCAGTACAGAGAGCTGCACGATGACAAGTCCTTCGTGTGCATTGTGGATGACAAGCAATAAGCAATGGTCTCCCATCGCACACAGCCACGGCAATGCTTTCCAAGACCACCACTATCCACCACCACATCTCGCCGCAGGCGAATGCGTTCTTTGCACAATCCAGCAAGAAGTAACGGCCAGGCGCCCTGCCCTCTCTGCCCAAAGTCGCGTCCTATCCCTATCCCTCTCGCCCTCTAGCCCTCTCAAGATCTTCAACCCACCACACCCAAAGACCCAAGCCATCAAGATCATCACGATCAGCGCTGGCAATGGAGACGAACCCAGGTTCTTACCACCATCGCCGTCACCGCCGTCACCACCGCCACCATGACCACGCAAGGGTCGGTGTGAACACCAGCACCGCAGACCATGACCGCAGCAGCGCAGAGAGCTGGGAGGAAGACTCTCCATCTCCCAACGCAGCGTCGCCGCTCTTGCTTCACAACGACAACCACAGGCCACCGCAATCGCATCAACACCAAGAACAGCCGGAACACCAAGAACAGGAACCACTGCCGCGCCCCTCTTGGTGGGGAAGCTGGAAACTGAGGCAGAGGCCCTCACACCAACAACGGCGGTCGCCTGCTCCCATGCCCAGAACGTCATCATAACTGGACACAAGGATGGCAGCGTGTCGTTCTGGCGCAAGGACACGCTCGCACACATCAATACAGTGCGCGCTGCGCACACTTCATCCATCACATGCCTCGCTGTGAGCAGTGCTTGAGCGAACGGCAGTGTCTGGAAGCGAGGGCGGATACCTAAAACTCTGGGACGTGGAAGCACGCAATCCTCTGCATGACGACCCAATTGCGACGCAAAATCACGCTGCCCATGCCGTCACCGCGCTGTGCATGTTACGGGGCAATCGCTTTGCATTCGCCAGAAAGGATGGGAGCATCCAACTGTGGAACATGAACATGGGTACAGATCAGCGCTTCCAAGGTCGACGCAATGCCCACATCGGAGGTGTCACCTGCCTTGCCGTTACACCTGACGGCCAGCACCTGGTGTCGGGAGGGCGCGACTGTACCATCAGGGTCTGGCACGTTAACCACGACGATGACGGCGACCACGGTTTGCAGCTCCGCAACCAAATCAACACACGCGGGTCCGTGCATAATCTTGCACTGGACGCAGATGGCCAGCGCATCGTGTCCGTCTCATGGTATGGCCCGCTCCTCGTGCCACAACTGTGGGCAAGCGTGGTCACATACGTTGTCTGTGTGAGTTTGGTCTTGGGCTCGGTGGCGTTGGCGATACTGCACAGCCTGTGGTGGCTGTTCCTTGCCGCGCTCACAGCCATATTCCTCTGGCTCATCACGGGCACATCGACACAAGTGCAAATGCACGATGTGGACACCGGCCGCTTGTGCACAAGCAGGGGCCTCGTTTCCTGGCTGACAGGCTTCCATAACCCACTACGCTTCACGTTCACCAGCTATGCACGCTGCACGGTTATTGATGGGTATGTGCTTGTCTTGGATGACGACGGGCAATGCACTTTCTTCACCTGGGACGACCCCATTGACCAACTCGTTAAGATCGGCGCGCTCCAGACGCGCGTGCGCGACCAACCACCAGCTCTGTGCACCCTGTTCAGCAATGACGAACCCATGCAGCCATGTGTTATCATAAGCGGAGAGGTGCCAGCCATATTCAACATCGCAACAGCCGTCCAAGTCTTCGCCTTGCAGGCGGGTGCTGTTCGTGGGTCACAGCTGCGTTCTACTAAACGGATGTTTGAGTTTCTGAAGCAACGCGTCGTGACTGAAGGGGTATCGACACCACTCGATGATTCTCAGCTACTGGCGCGGCTCAACAATGACATGTCGGCAGAAGACTGCCTCTCGTGGGCGGAGAAGCAAGCGGATGAGAAGAAGCCATTCTACAACGTGCTGGAAGCCCTGATCTGGAAGCACGTCGTGCACGCAAACCCGGAGCGCGCAATGACGCTTCTTGCCCAGCGGCTTGAGCTGCCCCCAGTTCCCCGCAGGCTTGTGCCGAATGGCAGCATACCTCATTCGAAAGCCTGGGTGCGACACGGTGACTTTGTAGTGTTGAGGAAGGAGGTGCTGGCGCGCGCGCTTGAAGCAGGTGCCTTGGATCGAGGTGCACAACCCCACACGCGAGCATCGCTCAGGGAGATTGAAAGGGAGATTAGGCGACAGAAGAACAAGAAGGCGGAGAGGGTTGCGACGAAAGCCCTCTTGATGGATGTGCAGCACATGACACCGCTGCTGTCCGTGCTCGTGCACAACAAGGCATCCCAGTTCTTTGAGCTGCTTGCCATTCGCGCTGCCGTTGAGCACAAGTGGCGCGCGAACAAACCCCCGTTCGTGTGCGAGGCTGTTGTGCGGGTGGTGCAGCTGGCCATGCTCGTTGCCGTCTCCGTCTCCATTCGCGACTGGGAGGAGCGGTTCCTGGTCCGCCCAATATGGGAACAGGTCCTCATTATTGCGCTGTTCGTGCTTGACTTTCAAAACATCAATTCGCTTGAACTCCGCTACGACACCACCAACAATCGGTTCAGGGGAAACATCTGGACCTTGTTCAACCTCGCGCGCATCATCACCATGACCACGCTGCTGACTCTCCTTCTCATACCCAACGAGAACGCCCGCACCGCCCTGGCCTTCTCCGTGTTCTTCCACTGGATTGGGCTTTTCCAGTTCCTGGTGGCCTGGGACAAGACGGGGCCCGTTGTGCTCATGATTTTCAGCATTCTCAGAGACACGTGGCCGTTCATCTTGGTGCTCGCCCTGGTCGTTGCAGGGTCTACAAACGCCCTGTATGTGTTCCTGCATCAGCCCCACCCAAACCCTGCACTGGCTGCTTCGCCAAACCACGTCGCCGGCGCAACCGCCTCGGGCTGCCGCCCGGGTGTCAATGCTGCCGCCCCTGGGTTTGAAGACTTTGCGCAAGCCCTGTTCTCCACATCGCTGATGCTGCTGTTCGGGAACATTGACACGGGCATCTTTGACGTGGACGAACAAGGAGCGCCCGCGATGGTGCGCATCTTGTTTCTGCTTGTTGCTGTGCTGACGCTGGTGATCCTGCTGAACCTGCTGATCGCGGTGCTGTCAGACTCGTACGAGCGCATCCAAGCAACTTCGGCAAGGGAGCTCACGCTTGCACGTGGCATCATCGTGGACGCGGGCTACAACCACCCGAGTGCCCGGCTGCTCTTGCGCGTGCTGTATCTGCTCCACATTGTGTCGACATCGTCACCCGAGGCGTCAGATGAGGCAGTCGTCCTCATCCCCGCGAGTGCGGAGCAGCGGACGAAGGTGCGACCGGAATGGCAGGGCGCCATGCAAGAGATCAAGCATCGCATTAATGACTTGGAGGCGAAAGTTGATGGGAAGCTGAAAGAGGTGGACGACAAGCTCGACCGCCTGCTTCAACTGTTGGCTTGCGCAATCCTTGCGTCACATCACATCACATCACAAATCGCTGCAATTGTGTACCTCTTTTACACCTCGTTACGTCACATGTGTTGGTCTTTCTCGTCAGTTGATAGTTGTCACCTCACACGCACAACTTGCTCGCGCTTTTCACTTCCACGTGTTATGTACACGTGCCACACCAAGACTCATCACACTACAACTGAGAGAAAGTGTTTTCTCCCCCCAATGCGGCAAATCCGTATCTTCAGTTTAGCACGAGCCGCACAGACGAACATGTCATGACACATGATACATCGCAAAGCGACTGCAAATGTACAAATCTGCCAGCGTACACATGACCAGCCAGACAGACACATAATGAAGCGAGACGAAAAGCAACGCGAGTGATAAGCCCTTGCACAAGCAAGCCAAATTGAAACCGCAAGCTACCAGAAACTGTGTTTGCTTGTGAGACCAGCCAGGGATGTCTGAATCCAACCATGCGTGTGCCACTCTTGATGATCCTCGAAACTGTCTCACACCACAGAGGATGTGAAACCACCAATCCGCTTCTTGCTGGAGGCCGACGATGAACGCAACTGCAACAAAGTTGGGTGCTGCTGCTGCTGTTGTTGTTGTTGTTGTTGTTGTTGTTGTTGTTGTTGTTGTTGTTGTTGTTGTTGTTGTTGTTGTTGTTGTTGTTGTTGTTGTTGGTGGTGGTGGTGGTGTTGTTGGTGGCGTTGTTGTTGTTGCATGCGTGTGGCTTGTGCCTGCTCGTCCTCCTCATCCTCCTCCTTGAAGTAGTGGGCGGTGTGGGCAGCCCTTTCCGGGTTTGCTGCCATTGCTTCTGCAGCTGACGCCACGCCCTGTGCTGACAACGTTGGTTTGCGCGGGGAGAGTGGAGACGGCGACATGACGTTGTTTGACTGTCGCCGGTGGAGCTGTGCAGCTTTACCGGCATCGCTTCCGCTTGTCCTCTCGCTGCGTCTGCCGTGATGGCTGTGGCTGCGGCCGTCGCCACTGTTGCCGTGGCCACAGCTGCTGCTGCTCTGCCTCTGCTGCTCTGCCGCTAGCCTGATCTCGTTGGCGTTCAGGCTGAAGTAGTGCCGGTCGCTTGGAGACGAGGACCCGTGCGGCGACCGCGAGTGCGAGTGCGAGTGCGAGTGCGAGCGGTTTGTGACGGTCAGGGGCGAGCCCGAGCGCGGAGAGATGGACACCTCTTTACTGCGATCCCCGTCCCAGCCCGCACTGAGCGTGCTGCTGAATCCACTGCCGCGTCGGCTGTCCAACCCAACGGGAATGGCAAGCTTGCTTCCCCGAGAGGAGGGGATGCTGCGGCCATCGGCGGGGAGGCGGGACGCGGACAGCCGTGAGGACAGCGAGCTGCCTGTGGTGTGAACGCATTGGGAAAATTTGGGGGGGGGGGGGCGGGGAAGGGGGGAGGTGAGTGAGCGTGAGCGTGAGAGGGAGGGGGTGAGTGAGGGATGGGACAAAGTCGGTTGGTTGAAGAATTGTGTCTCGTTGTCAGCGGATGAACAAGATGGGATGAGCAGATACGCACTTGCGCGCAGCGCAACACGGACACGTGCACATTCAAACACAAGTGTACGTTGCCACAAGTGTACATTCATAACGCACACACACACACACACACACACACACACACACACACACACACACACACACACACACACGATGGCGTACTTTGCTGTGGCGCTGCGAAGAGCGACGATCGCACGTATCCGTTCAGGTCCGTGACTGTGGACGGGCGGGCCAGGGAACCGCGCTCAACATCTCCAATGTCAAACTCGTCGTCATCGCCATCACCCTCATCATCATCCGCCACATAATCGTCGTCATCATCATCTTGGTGGTGGGAGCGGCGACTGCGGCGCCCGCGGCTGATTGGACCCTCCAACTCTCCATCGCCAACATCGTCACCATCGCCGGCACCACAGCTACCACTGCCACCATCATTGTTGGCACTATCCTTGCTCGCGCGATCATGTTGGGGGTGCGAGGGGTGTGTGCTTGCCGCCGCGTCACCACGTTCCCGCATGTTCTTCATCGCCATCGCCACCGCCGTTGGTGAAGCGTATGATGCCTCCGCGTGCGTGGATGCTTCCGTGTCCGCCCGGTTGCTCGATGCCGATGCAGCCGTCACATCAGTCTTCGTTGTTGCCGTCGTTGGTGTTGTGGTGGCCGCAGCTGCTGCAGGTGTTGTTGATGACGTGGTGGTAGCGGTGGTTGTTGGCGTGTCGCTTGTGCGGCGCGCGGCTGCAGAGTCACCATCACCCGTCTCCGCCCGTGAACCAGCCGGCACCTTGTGTGTGTGTGTGTGTGTGTGTGTGTGTGTGTGTGTGTGTGTGTGTGTGTGTGTGTGTGTGTGTGTGTGTGTGTGTGTGTGTGTGTGTGTGTGTGTGTGTGTGTGTGAATATGTGAAAATGTGAATATGTGTGTATCGCTTGTGTGAGTGGGTGTTCGTCTTGTGGAAAACAGGACTCGCCAAGACCACCACCACAACAAAGCCACCACCACAATGACAGATACAGCACTTCCATGTCACACCTCCCCCGCCCCCCGCGTGACGACTTACTCGTGGGCAGGGCACGCCGAGGGTAATTGGAAGCCAGGTCTGATCCTTCTGGCTACACACGTCAATCACCTGCACAGTACCGCAACAGAAACATGCGTGAGAGATGGCGATGTGGAGCGATGTGGAGCAGCAAACAAACAATACATGAAGAGAGGCACCCTCACACCCAAATTCACACGCACAACTATGCAAATTTACGCACGCACAAGTGCACACAAATGCACGCACACATATATTGATATTGACCAACGCCACCACATGCCTACGCTTCATCCCCTTCCACTGCACCGCACCTCTGCGAGTGATGGTGCACACGGTTTGCCGTCGAGCTCAAAACAGGACCCGTTGTCCTGGATGAGCACGTGCAGAATGTCTTTGTTCTGATCGACGACAGACAGCGCGTACGCGCCGGGGCCACTGTGTTTGTGTTTGTGTGCGTGTTGTGGTTGTGGTTGTGGTTGTGTGTGTGTGTGTGTGTTTGTAAGCGGTGAGCTCACCAGTAACAGGTATGCAACACCAAACAACCAAAGCAACAAACGAAACCGCAACAACAATAACATGTAGCCACAAGTCCTCACCACCCTCCACTCCCGTCTCAGCCTCGCACTCACGCGCTGCTGTCTCTGACGAGGAACATGCCCGGGACGAGTCCATATGACATGAGACGGTCGTTTGCGTCGTCGCGGCTGAGACCACGGAAGTACCACAGGCTGTTGGCAAGGCTGCGCACAGAGTCAGACGTATCTGGCAGCTGGTTGGAGGCGATGCGCTCGCAGTCCTTTGTCAAAAAGTCGGAGCAGTCGGGGTTGAGGCGGCATGGCAGCTCTGATTCGAGGAGGGGGGGAAGTGATGCATGATGAGTTATGGATGATGAGTGGTTGATTGGAGGTTGAGGTGAGGTGGGCGCGAGAGTAAAGGTTGCCAGGAGAACGTCGCACACACACACACACGCACACACACACACACACACACACACACACACACACACACACAAACAGAACTAACAAACAAAACACATACGCGCACCGGCTGGCTGGACGCAGTGGTAGATGATGAGGTCTTGGAGGGTTCGGAAGACAAGATCCGAGTCCTTGAAGCAGACGCCACCGGGGACAGACTCAATCAGGAAATGCGTAATGCCACCATCACACTTGAGCGACAGCGCTGACGGTGGAACAACGTGATGTGACGTGATGTGGTGCGACATGATGTGGCGTGGTGTAATGCGATAGACTGTGAGGGGAGAAGCACACAGAGTCAAAATCAATGTTCACACAAACACACCACACCACACCACACAACACAACACGCAAGCACACACACAACACGACACAGAACACAGAACACACACCACACAAACATACAACATGCACACACATGCAACCTCCAACACCCCCCCCCCCGCATACCGTAGTGTCCTGGTCTGCTGGTGCTGTCACGGAGGACAAAGGCACCAGAGGGGGCTGGGTTGAGCTCGTCCTGAAGTTTCGCAACAGCGGCCTCGCGAGCCTTGTTGCTTGCGTCACGTGACGACTTGACCCACCGCTGCACCCCACTGATGACGGCGGCACCAGCCATGCGTGTGCACGTGGTTGCAGGTGTTTGGGGGGGGGGGAAGGTGTTGGGGAAGGGAGGAGAAGGTTGTGAGTGGATCCGCAAGTAAAGAGGAAACAAGGCAATACTGTTTGCATCGCAGTCAGACGAATACGCTCACAAGCAACACAAGCGCGATCAAGAAGGTACAATCCAGCAGCACCAAAGCACACTCAGACACGAAACACAGCCCCACACTCACCGGTGGATGGTGAAGAAGACGTCCTCTGATTCGTAGCCGTCGGCATAGAGAAAGTGAATCTCAGACAGCTCTGTCTCCGTGACGAGATACAGCAGTTTCAGGTCGGGCTCGTAGTTGTAAAAGGAGAGCGAGTTCATGGGCCGCGAGCACACAATGTCGTGGTTGCGTGGCTCTGTCAGCACAAGATGGTTGTC